ATTATATTAGCTAATATTATTTTTTATTAGCTATTTTTAGTAGCTTCCTCAGCATGTCACCAGTTCGAGATGACTCCAGACACTTCTTACCTCGCTTAGCCTAGACTGTCAAGGCTAGAGGCAAAAAGACAAAAAGGCTTAAGCCTCCCTTTGAACTTCTAGGGCTGTTTGTTTGGGTTTTGCTGTAGGTAACCCTGCAATGCTGTGACCTTTCTATCCCTGCAGTCCAAAAATGCCCTGGCTCATGCCCTGCAAGCGGCCAGGCACGACTGTGACCTCCTGCGGGAGCAGTATGAGGAGGAGCAAGAAGCCAAGGCAGAGCTGCAGCGGGCTCTCTCCAAGGGAAATGCTGAAGTGGCACAGTGGAGAACAAAGTATGAGACTGATGCCATTCAGAGAACTGAGGAGCTGGAGGATGCCAAGTAAGTGGATTACATGGGTTTCACTGTCCCCTCGGCTGTCGGGATTGTGCTCCCTGGGACTTGTTTTAGTGATAAGAAAATGGCAAAATGGTTGGAAAAATCTCTCTGCTCATTGATGTTGTTTGTGGCTGTCCTTCTTCTGTCCGTTCCATTTCTTGAGCAGGTCAATGTTTGTGCTGAGCCCTGGTCTACGGGGTGGTGGATGTGGATACTGGGGTTTATTTAAGAACTAACAAGATTAGATTACCCTACCTGGTTATCTTGCACACTCACTTGCTTTGCATAGCCCAGTGCTATGTTCCCTTGGTCTTGGCTTCCCCTCCCAGCAGGGAGATGATGGTTTCCCTGGGAAGGTAGGGCAGAAACTCATGTTGGCTTGTGCTATGCGGCCACTCGCAGCTACTAGTTTCAGGCATTATTGCACAAGGTCTCTGAGCATCTCCAGCACCTGCCTCCATGCATCTCTGATCTGCAGGGTCTTCCCCCACTTCCCACTTTATCCACCTAGCATCTACATGTTCTTCTTTCTGGGCCCTCCTTTCTTTCCGGAACCTCTTCTTGCTGGGACTAGCAGTCCCCTGTTTTCCCAATCTAAACAATCTATGAACAAAAGCCCAATGCACGACAAGCCTCCTAATTGGCAGTTCTGTCTCATATCTCTTAATTGGAGGAACAGGACACTTCATTTAGACCAGGTCTTTCCAGAATTTGCAACCAGACCATAGCGGTTACAGCTAGCAAGTAGCAAGCTGCTGCTTAAGAGTCTAAACTTTCAACTTCAAATATTCAGACACTTACACACACATGCACAAAATTACGTGCCACATGCCAGCATTCATAATTTAAAGTGGGGTTTTTGCCTATCATAATCCCTTCTCTCTAGAGGCCTAATTTCCCCTTCCCTTCTCCTTGCCACCCCAACTTTCCTTTTCAAAACGTGGAGTCAGTTTTTTCTGGATAACACGGGAGTGGTGACACTCAGTCTCTTCCCACCTGGCAGGAAGAAGCTTGCTGCTCGCCTGCAAGAAGCTGAAGAAGCAATTGAAGCAGCCAACGCCAAATGCTCTTCTCTGGAAAAGACAAAGCACAGGCTGCAGAATGAGCTGGAAGACATGATGATTGACCTGGAGAAGGCCAACTCAGCAGCTGCCTCCCTGGACAAGAAGCAGCGTGGGTTTGACAAGATCATCAATGACTGGAAGCAGAAGTATGAAGAGTCACAGGCTGAGCTGGAGGCTTCCCAGAAGGAGGCCCGTGGCCTCAGCACTGAGCTGTTCAAGCTGAAGAATGCCTACGAGGAGACACTGGACCATCTGGAGACATTGAAAAGGGAAAACAAGAACCTCCAAGGTAGGCTTCATTCATGTCCCATGTTCAGTGTGAGAGCCACAGCTGGAGATATGCAGGTGCCCGATAGCAGCTGTGGGGAAAGGCATTTATCTCATCCTTGAGACTAGCTTTCCGATATGTTTGGAGGCACTGACTGATGCTGGCGATAGTGGTTTAGAACACAGTAATTGGTACAGCCAGAGGAGAGCAGGCTTCCCTTTGCTCACCTGTCAAAGAAGCTCACTGGCAGAGGTGCCAGTCTCAGGGGAGGAACAAGAAAGATGACAGAGACGCAGTGGGTAAAGCCTAGGCAGCTCCCAAAGCAGAGCACAGTGCTGCTAGCCTGCAGATCACAGGTAAAAACTAAACCACTATAACCACCTCAAAAAGTTTTTACAAGAAAGTCTGCGCCTTTAAGTTGGTCAGGTAAAAGAAGTTGCTGTAACTGAAAGGAAGGCAGCGCTTGCGTACAGAGAAGCCCTTGAGGCAGCAGCTTGAGGCATGGGTCCTTCCATCCATGCTCTGTGACTTAAAATATGTTCAAGACATTCCAACTGCTGGATCCATCCATCCTTTTTTGTTTCAGAGGAGATTTCTGATCTGACCAACCAGATCAGTGAAGGAAACAAGAGCCTCCATGAAATAGAAAAAATCAAGAAACAGGTTGAACAAGAAAAGTCAGAAGTTCAGCTGGCTCTGGAAGAAGCAGAGGTAAGGAGGAAAAGCTCAAAGGAAGAGAAAAGAGTGTCTTCCTTTTTCATCCTCTCAACAACACAGCCAGTGTTTTCACTATAAGCGAATGCACCCTCTCTGCAGGCAGCTCCTCCAGCCTCGCTAGCCAGTGTTTTCAGGAGTGCCTGATGACTTCCGGAGATGTCTGCTCTAAGATCATCAGTGGAGGCCCTTTCAAAGGAGGTGCCTTGTAGGTTTTGGGGTTTTGTTGTTGTGTTGCAGGGTTTTTTTGCCCTTTCAGGAAGCTCAGACATCTTCTGCCCACTTCCTGAGAATCCAGTTCTTGCTTACTTCAGCACAGAGTATTTCAGTCTTTCAGGAAACAGGAACTGCTGAGAATTATGGCCTTATACTGTTTTATCAGATATTTTTAGTGTCTAGTTTCCAACAGCAAATTCACCATCTCCTGTTTTTAGAGAATAAGAAAACAAACCTCCTGATGACTTTAAATTTTATAAGGTCACAGATACTGTATTGGATACTGCAGCCTGCTTAAAAAGAATTGGTAGCAGTCTCAAACCAAATAAAAACAAGCCATTGGAAAATCCTTGACTCCCAGTAAGAGTTTGGTAAAGACATTTAGCATCTCTGCACTAATTTCTACAGCGACAAGTATGCATGTACCCAAGATGGATGCCTCATCCCAGTTTCCAACAAACAAACCACAATACAGGACAAGTCAACTGGCAATTCTGGTTATTCACTTGAAGGGCTCGGTTGCCAGCTTTTTGGAAGTCTGGTACATTAGCTGGCAAAGCTAAGAAGGGGTGTAGGTGTTGCAGGCTAGAAGCAATACGGCACACAGCAAGGGATTTTTAGTGCAGGATGCATTTATCTGGAATTGTACTCCAAATAATATATGCTCAAACAAACATCACCCAGTGACAGGGATCCATTAATACCTTACATGCTGTGCAACCTCTTTTGTCTGTTACAGGATGCTTTATACTTTGCAGGAATTTCACAGCCAAATAAACAGGTCTCATGATCAGAGCAGAGGAAAAAGCTTGCCTTTCTTCTATAGCTCTGAGATGTGGAGAGTGATTATATGCTCTGTCAGTAACTTTTTCCTAGAAAGAATACATCAGTTCTTGAGGGATCTAAGTGACACACTTTACTTTCCTGGGCTGTGTGGAATGGCTTCCTAAAGCTCAGTGATATTAGGAACTAACAAAAGTAAAGTGGTGATGTATCTTATTTTAATTGTGAAAGGAAGGGTTTAATGCAGATTTTCTCCCTTCCTTGTGTATTTGGGTCCCTGGCAGTCGCCACTGGTGACACAGTACTTCTGTGTGCTGTTCCCACTAATACATTGTGGCTCGTTGGCATGAAGTGTGGGTTTGACTGACCTGTAGCTGCTGCATGATGACTGGAGTTGGCAAAGGTTTTGTACAGCTTTGTCTTCAGAAACTCCATTCTGTTTCCATCATCTCTTGAGGGAAGCATAGTTAAGCCTGTGCAATTCTACCCTTCAGGGAGCACTTCCAAAATATAGGACGTTCAGTTCTGTGCTTTCTTTCCCAGTTTGATGTGAGCAGTAAGGAGACAGAATGCCACTGAGCCTGGTTATGCAAGACCTGGAAGTCAGAGACCCTGTTATTTCACTATGGGCTCTTAGCTTAGTTCTTGACTTCTGTCTTTAAGAGAAATGTACGAACAAAGACATAGGAACAAACCTCTCTTGTTTCATAGACTTGTCTTCATGTTAATTGGAAAGAGCAGACAGAGTATTTTTGCATTCTGTCACATAGAGCTGATGTCTGTTATTTCTTTCCTCGAAGTCACATTGCCTGATAAGATTGTATAAATGGGAGGCTTTCAACACTTCTTGATTTGGAGAGAGCTTTGTGTTCTGGGGGATGTGTGGACCCCTTCACTCTCCCAATTACAATCTTGTTTTAGCTTTTGCCTATCCTTTAGAGGCCTATGAATTTCTGGAGGGTGTCTGTACAGGGGTGTGGAACAGTGAACGTCTGTTGATCTCAAAACCACGCAGGCAAGGCCTAAAGTGGTTTTTGGTTTTGTCTTGTTTTTGTGAACCATGGACTGTTTGACAATTTGTCCTCTGAGGATTGTGCTGCTCAGTTTTCCAGCTGCCAAGTTACATCAGAAGGCAAATAAACGCATTGTTTTGCCGTGTGAGTTGCTCGTGTCCCTCCTAGCGAGAGAGGCAAGAAGGAAATAGCGCTATTGGGAATGAGAAGAAAAGTGTGAAGGGATCATCTTTGTGCAGCACTTTGTAATTTGGAAAAAACCCCAAACAAAACCCAACTCTTGGCATGCAAGCTCTTTTTGCTTTCTATTTCAGGGAGCTTTGGAGCATGAAGAAAGTAAGACCCTTCGGTTTCAGCTTGAACTTTCTCAGCTTAAAGCAGAGTTCGAAAGGAAACTGACAGAAAAGGAGGAAGAAATGGAAAATATAAGGTACTATGCAGGAAGCAGCATGTTTTTTAAGGGGAAAGTGTCTCAAAAGACCAGAAATATCCTCAAGACCCAAGCCATTTGAATGCACCATAAGTAGTTATGCCAGTGCAAGAAGATACGGCCCATATCAGAAACCAAGGCAGCTCTGACTATTTGCCAAAGGGTAGTCCTACAACATATCATTTCTTAGTTCAAATATTCCTGTCAGCTCAGTCTTTGCTAGTGTACACAAGTCCATCACACACATCACACAGCAGCTGTAACACAACTGACCGGCACAACCAAAGTCACAGTAGATGAAGGACCGCTAAGTCTATGTGTTTGTATGGAGACAAGTAGGTCTAGAGAGCTGCCTTCTCCTAGTCTTCTAGGATGGCTGCCTCCCAAGGTGATCCACAGGCAAAATCAGCAGCACTACCTCAGAGATGCTCAAACCTGTTATCTGAGCACATTCAGTTAATTTATGCAGTTACAGCTACACTGATTGTGGGAGGATGTGAGGAGCTTGCCATTATGTGTACACCATTTAGGTAAGCAGTGAGAATTGCAGTTACAGAAAGTATGAATATAAAAGGAGAGGAGCTTGTGGGTGAAAGGGATAAACAGGAAAAATGGAAAGCAATTAGATGAGAGGAGGGTGATGTCTTTTGTCTCTCCCCTCCCACCCAGCACAAATGCTAATCTGAGTTTCAGCAATGTGTATGTGCAGTCCTTCAGAAAACTCTGCTTTTGAGTTAGTCGGTGTTGCAACACTATTAATTCAAGCAGCATGTCATTGTAGATAGGTTAAAGGGTAGGGAAGGGGAAGTCCAAGGCCCACCTTGGCCAGGGTAAATAGAAGCATTGATAGGTTAATTGCTTCAAAACCAAGAATGTTTCATCCCTTTCAGATACTATCTTCTGATGTCCTGCTGATGTCTGGATTACAGACATCTCAGAAGAAGCTATCCTAATCAGTGCTTTTTGCCTCAGCGTCGTTACGAGTTGTTTTGCTGCTAAGTTGTTCAGCAGACATGCTGTGTTGCTCCCTGGGAGTCTAGGGGACAGTTCAGTATCTTGCTGAAGCAATAAGGCCCTCAAGGTTTTCCTTGTTGACTCTGTAATTTCCCAGAACTCCTACGCTTTCAGCAAAACTTGGCCAGCAGCGAGATAAATGTTTCCCTGTGTGAGTCATGTTCTGTGCTTTGAGTTATCTGTGGTTGTAAGAAGCAAAACTTTCATTAGAAGACTTGACTGTCATAGAGTCAAGAAAATTAATCACCTGTTTGCATTTGTTTGCTATCTTTAAATTGACACTAACCTGCCTTTCACAGGGGGACAAGCCTGTTAATTGGGTAGGCTTAATCTCTTCTAACTTTAGATTAGAAACCGTATAGAAACCGTAACACAGGTTTCTATTCCTGAATTATTCCCTTCATAATTAACACAAGAAATGTTTTTTTTTCAAAATGTACTTTAAGACACAATAAATTGTAGCCTACACATGCCATTTACTATAAAGAGCACCTAGAGTAATTAGCTTAGAATGTAGCTGTCTACCTTCAGTTTGATTAATCTCCTCCACTGACGCCTTCATAAAAAGGCTGAGATGTAAAACACCCCAGTAAAATGATTCAGTAAATACCCATGCTTCAAGTACTTCTTGCTATGGTCAAACCTCTACTTGCTGGAGTTTACAAGAGATCTGAGAGAACTCCTTGCTCCCATGTTGCCAAAGGAAACATGGGAGAAGGATGCTACAGGGTGAGATACTTACAGAAAGTGAAGTACTGTTGCATGTAGTTCTACATTCCTGCACAGGGGGGAAGTTGCTCCATTTGCCCTTCGTGTCTTCTCCAGGAGAAATCAGCAACGCACCATAGATTCACTGCAGTCCACCCTTGATTCTGAAGCCAGGAGCAGAAATGAGGCCATCCGGCTCAAAAAGAAGATGGAAGGGGACCTCAATGAGATGGAAATCCAGCTCAGCCATGCTAACAGGCACGCTGCAGAAGCAACAAAGTCAGCACGTGGCTTGCAGACACAAATAAAGGTACTCTGGCAACTGCCAGTCCCAAGTACTCAATGGTAGGTGGGTGTTGGGTTTCATTAACACAGAGCAAACAGCAATGGTGATGGTAGTTGAGAGAGAAACTACTCCCAAGGATGTGCAGAGTAAGTCCTTAGCGATCATGTCTGGCATAAGGAAATAGGGAAATACGGATTTCTTCCAAGACTTGCATTCAAGCTGGATGAGATCCAGTCATAAAGCCATTGCTGGCTACAGCCTCCTGCAGAGACAGAAAGCTACAGCCCAAGGAACTGAAAATCTATGATTTTCTTGTGAGCTGCAAATCCTTTAAAAGTGGAGAGTGTCAGCTGGCTGGAGTACAGGGAATGTGTGTATTCAGCTTTGTTGTTTGCTTCAGCATTTGTAATAGCTTAAAAAAGTGCTTTGCTAAGACACCTCTTCAGTCATTGCTTCTCCCACACCTGAGCAGCTAGTACTGCCTCGGGCAGAACTGTGAGCTTTGATGGGTTTGAACACACAGATTTTTTCCCGCCTTGCACCATGTATCACAAAAACTATCCAGCTTACAGTGTGGAGGAAGCCTTTCTCCAATAAAGAAGCACTGAAATTCCTGAGGTGTGTCCTGTGCAACCTCTGCAACCTGAGGTCTTCCTGTGTAAGCACAGCAGCTTGCAGTGGAAATGCACTGATTAAAACCCAAACATCTGTTTTGTTATAGGAGCTTCAGGTGCAGCTGGATGACTCGGGACATGTGAATGAAGATCTGAAGGAGCAGCTGGCAGTGTCTGACCGGAGGAACAACCTTCTCCAGTCAGAGCTGGATGAGCTGAGGGCTTTGCTGGACCAGACTGAACGAGCAAGGAAGCTGGCAGAGCATGAACTGCTGGAAGCCACTGAACGCGTGAACCTGCTTCACACTCAGGTTGGCTTTTCCTGTGCTCTCTCCTTCACTGGGTTAAACTGAGCATTGTCAGCGAAGCACTGACACAGTTTGTCCAGGGCTGTCGTAAGTCAGACATACCTTGCCCTCCTCCAGATGAGAAAATGAGGGAGAGGAGGTAAGTCACTCTGTAGATATGCCTCCTCCCTCCCTTCAAGTTAGCTGGAATTGATGAATCAGCCGACTGCTTAAAACACTTTCCAGAAAAAGCGATGGTGGAAGATAACCAGAGTAAATTTTATTTCTTTCCTTCTTCCATGCTGTAAAACCAGATTCCTGCTTTAGTTAAGCCATGTCGGGGATAGTGAGGCATTTCTTTGAAGAAGTGACACAGGAGCTGTGTTTGTGTAGTTGTTATTTAGCAATGAATGTTATTTGGCCAATGAATAACTGCAGAGGCTGGGTTCTAACAGTGGGTGTGCTGTGCAGGGCAGGAATCTACCCCATCACACCCTGCTGTGTCTCAGGTCTTTGTTAAGAGACACCTTTGGACTTGGATGGGTCGATGAAATGAGCACTGCAGTTTTTACAGGGCCATGGAGGGGGATGCCCCAACTTACCAGCATTTTTTGTGGGGCTTCTGTTTTAATCACCTCATTGACTAACTGATTATGGATCATTAGTTTTCCAAAAAGAACTCTCAGCCTATTGCTTAATTATTTTATTTGAACCAAAATCTAAATATTTACAGCTTTGAGAGTATTTTTAATGTTCCCTCAGTCTGAAACTATGTATGCGGTCAAGGCCAGCCCTTACCATTTGGGGCCTCCCCAAATACTGCTCTGTGTAATTCAGGAGCTGTGAAAATCAGTAAGCCTCTTAAGTCTCTAATCATCACTTTTCCTCCTTTTCCACTGTTCCTTTGGGAAAAACTTAATAACAGAACACAAGCCTGATCAATCAAAAGAAGAAGCTGGAGGGTGATATTTCCCAGATGCAGAATGAAGTGGAGGAATCGATCCAGGTTGCAGAGGAAAAAGCAAAGAAAGCAATCACAGATGTAAGTAGGCTGGTTCCTTGCTCACTTCTTTTCAGTCCTGCTACATCTTATGACAGCCAGAAAAGTAATACCCAGGTTGCCATTTCTGTGCATGCTACAAAACTCATCCAAAGCGCCCCCCTGTTATCTGGAGGTAACTGATGAAACTACAAAATAAAGCAGTCTAGAGCTGAAAAGAGAGGAAGTACCTTTTCCTAATGTTTAAGTTTTGGTTGGTTTGAGGTTTGGTTTTTTTGGGGGGTTATTTTGTTTTAGTTTGGTTTTGTGTGTGTTTGTTTTGGGTTTTTTTGGGGAGAGATGTTTTGGTTGCTTGGTTGGTTGGTTTTTATTTTCCCAGGAATGCACTTTCCATTGATCCTCAAAGTCTCAGGGTCTTTGCATCAGGTAAATCGCGCACCCAGATAAGCTGAACCAGTTCAGACTGAACTAGCGCTGATGTACACATAATCTGATGCCAGAAACAAAACTACTAAATCCTAAAGAGGTCACATCATATCAGCAGATAAAATGAAAGCTAAAACTGGAGGTTTCTGTGAGTTATATGTCTGGAATGCCTGGACAAAGCTGTTCCTGTTCTGTGGTCTTTACTGCTTGTCAGCTGACAGCAATATTACCTCCTGGCAGAGAAGATGCTGATTGTCCTTGATTCAGTTCCAGCCTGGATTGCAATGACTGCTGTCTTCTGATGACTGCTCAGTGATGGGTACAAAATCTCTAAAACTGGAGGTTTCTGTGAGTTATATGTCTGGAATGCCTGGACAAAGCTGTTCCTGTTCTGTGGTCTTTACTGCTTGTCAGCTGACAGCAATATTACCTCCTGGCAGAGAAGATGCTGATTGTCCTTGATTCAGTTCCAGCCTGGATTGCAATGACTGCTGTCTTCTGATGACTGCTCAGTGATGGGTACAAAATCTGT